CTGACTGCAGGCTTATGGCTAAACAGAAATAAGAAAGATATCAGTATTCTCATCTAATGCTTGGCAAGAAAGCAAATATAAGCACATTTCCCAAAATGATAATCTACTGCTTGAAGGCAACCACCACTATGATCTCTTGATGAGATCAATATGACCTTCATAAAGGTGTTACTTTACTACTCTTAATATTTTTAACATTTACAATATGTTCACATTCTGTTTTTCTAAAAAACATTTAAGCAATTGTGATTCAAAAACATGATTCCACTTTATCAACTTTACTTTGCGTTGCAAATTGTCTGCGTATCTTTAATTACCTCTGTTTTTTTAAAAGAATAAAACCTCTTTCTCAGCTTGTAAACTGTGGGCCAGAATGCTATAGATCCAACCAATCAACTTTATTATAGTGCCTTGTGTCCCTCTCTCCTTTTCTTCCTCCCACATTCTTCACTGTCTAGTCTACAATACTAACAAGCTTGCACTGGCGTTTATATTTTTAAGTGGTTTGGACTGATTTAGTGCCCCATGCAGGCTTTTTTTACATCAGTAAGACTGGGCAGTGCAATAAAGAAATTCTTTGTCCAGCTGAACCATCATCATCTGTTTTGTGAATCAAACACATTCAGCACAAACGAGCCTCAGCACCAATGAAAATAAGTCTGTGCCAGTGGTCTTATTATTATTATTATTATTATTATTACTACACTTACATCCAGGACCAAAGATGGGGACTACAAGCTGGGAACTAGAGGCCTGAAACAGCTCTGCATCAGCTCCTCATGCTGATGAGCTGGCTAGAGCATTTGGCAGCCTCACTGTGTCCCACTAAAAAACAACTTGCTTCCTTTCCTGCTCCACTGATGGATAATCACTGATGCGAGGCTGCACTGGCATTGACTGCATTTCCTTAAAATACACTTCTAGAGTTCAAAATGGAATGAATCAGATTTAAGAACTGTTTTGAACTTCTCTGCCATGCAGTAGTAGTAGTAGTAGTCGAGTCACCATCACTTTATACAGAGTAACAAAGGGACAGATTTGAAAAGGCTCGTGGTACCACACAATGTCAGAGGGTAACTTTTAACTCAGAGGCTTAAATCATACTGATAAGCTGCTTCAAAGTGTTGAAAAGAAAAAATAATCTGGAGGTATGAAACCTGAATATTGAAGACGCCTGAATTAGATCATGCTAAAGCTCTGCTTAGCACTAAGTCAACTGATGATGGTAGTAGGTGATTTTTTATTTCTTTGGCTTGTTTTTCTGTTATTACTGTTCTCAAAAGCTTTGCTTTAACCAAAAGGATAACATGTCAATAATGTATTATTACATACTTCTTGCCATGGCCAGAAAGACCAAGAATAGCTTTGATGTCAACTGCTTGGAAACATAACAAAAGGGCATTATCTTTTTGGGATTGTGGATTGTCCAAAGCTACAGTATTTCATGATCTATAGCTTCAAATACAGTAGAGTAGATGTTTTCTTAGTCTGTTTCCAAAGGGGCTTTTTGAAAAACAAAAACTACAGAAGCTTCTGATTGCTACTTTGCAATCTGATCTACCCAAAATATCCTCCTGAAATAAAACTGAGTTGGTACAGGACCTTGAGACATTGTGAAATAATCTAGGAATTACTCGTAATCATCACCAATGGCACGTCATTAGCACAGCAGGAGCAACAGAATAAAGGGTAGTGTACTTACTGCAGACTATTGTAATAGATTGTAACAATCACTGCACAGTTCACAGTAATAGGTCACTGCATTCGTACTGTGTCATAGGAGTCTGTGCTGGAAAGGACTCATCGCTGGAGTCCTGACTCAGTCCAAGCAGAACATAACTGTGCAGCCTGCAGGTTTGACTGAAGCCCTGGTTGTGAGGTCACTGGGTTTCAGGTGTGTGTATGTGGAAGAGAGAGAGAGAGGAAGACAACTAAAAAACATGAGAGAACTCCATGCCTGCTGCATTACAGCGGCACTGTAGACTTATCCTTCCATAACATTACAGCTTTATGAGCATCACTGAGATCTTTTCTCTGAATAGTTGCTATTCTTACTGCCATGGAAATGAGAGCACAGGGACTTGCGGGGAGAATGAAAACAATGAGCTGATGATGTTTTTCTATAATGTAGAGCTACAGTGCAGCCACATTATCATCAAGTAGCTGTATCAGTGTAATGGATGAACTCATGTCAGTGTCCCTACACTGAAACTGATCAAGTGTGTGTGATCAAATGTCTCTGTATATGTTCATATTATGATTGCCCACATTCTCATCACCACCATCATCATGTCATCATCATACACAGTCACACAGTCCTGCTTTTGGAGAGACTTTTTTTTTTACTTTCTGATTGCCAGACGACCAATTAGGACAAGGTCCCCAATTAGGCGGTGTATCATACTACTAAATATCTCCTGCCTCCAAAAACGGGCATTGTGTGTGATGGAGAGAGAGGAAGAGAGAGAGAGAGCAGTAAAAACAGCTCTCCTCCACCAGACACTGGGGCGGGGAGAGAGGTTTGCAGGCTCCCACAGTCGCCGACAATGAAAACTAAAGAAAGAGCGATAGGTTTTACATCGAGTTAAATGTTCAGTGAAGAATACATGCAGGTCGGAGACATACTTGGCATTTCAATAAAAGCAGAGCATAGCGACTAATAATGAACGCATCTCCCTCCTCCTCCTCCTCCTCCTTCCTTCCTAATACCATGAAAACGGTACCCCCTGGGCAAGAAACGCATCATTGGAATCGATAAGTGATTGTCGGCAGCTGGGTAGAGGGAATGAAAGCACCAGGATCCGGACTAACGCGCTTTTTATTTGCGCTGGCATCCACACTGCATAGCGGGCTAATGGGGAAATGACGAGGCTCTCCACATGACAGGTCGACTCGGCTGTGGCTACCACCATTTCTGGATCTGTGGAGGAAAGACCCGGCCATAAACGCACGAGCGCGCACGAGCACGCTCGCGCAGATCTACATTCTCATAGTAAGAACCGTGCATTGGAGTGATGTGAAAATTGACCCGTGATGTGTTAGGATGACAGTTAAAGCACACAGGAAGATGAATCCACATCTGCTCTTTAGTGGAGCGAGACTGTGGAAAGCATCACTCCAGGAGAGTGGCACAAAAATGCACATTTTCAGTAATCGGCCTGCCTTCTCCAGACAACTCCATGGGCTCAGTGACAGCAGTGACACGAACTGGGAGATTTGACTACAGAGCTCCCAAGAAAGAGCTTGTAGTAAGCCAATATACAGTGGCATCCTATAATCTCTCTCTCAAGTTGCTATAACCTCACCTAACTGTTTGCAAACAGGAGCAAGCAAGCGCGCCCTAAACGAATCGTGCTGTGTGCTGCCCAACACACCTGTCAAAAGCCCGACACAGACATAGGAACCAAGCGCTGCACAGTCTAATATAAGCCTATTTGCTTCTATGCAAATAGTACCCCCCACCCTCCCCTTACACACACACACACACACACAAACCTTGACAACACGATATTAAGTACCCTACTTGTTATCACAGACATGTATGCATACACAAGCATTTATCATTACATTAGTGCATGCCATCTCCTCCTCTGTTTTCCACATTAATACGGTTTTCCCTCTCAATGGAAAATGGGTTGCGATGGGGCGGTGTGAAGTTGCATCCTTACCACAGTCATCGCAGGGAGCCTGTAGCTAGTGACCATGTTTGATGTTAAATATTCCTTAGGTCCATCTTCGCGGATCATGCCTCGGTGTCAGTGCCCCTCATCCGAAGCCGGAGTAAAGCTTATTGTGTCCGTTATCTTTTTTATTTCCTCTCTTTTCCACATGTAAATGGCTTGGAGGGGGACGCGAGGAGAGACGATACGCCACCTTACCACAGACTCCCCCTCTGTCGGACTGGAAGGTAATGGGTCTTAAAGAAACATTCTCTCAGCATTCTCCGCATCTGTGATTTACGCGCGCACCACGCACTCACAAGTACTCTGAAGCCAATCAAACACCTGATTAATTATACAGTGCCTATGTATATTAGAGACAAGTGTAAACTAAGTGCCACATTGTACTTGCAACTATCCCATTTTGCCATTATAACTGCAGCTTGCATTACTTTGTAAATAGCCAGTAGCCTATAGCTGCAGTGCATTCTTGCAAAAGAACACCGCAGATGTGTGGCATGATGCTCTGCAGACCCAACTTCATACTATTAAAAAAGGCAAAGTTGGTAGAGAAAATATTGAATATCCGGAGCCATAACTGTTAAACTATGTCTGTCATCCAACTTTATACGAATTCATTTTATGAAGATCACATCTGGGAATCACGTTTCCAGTTCTCCTGCATACTGAGATATGAGTAGTTAATGTCAAAAAAGACAAGCTCTTATTAAAATGTATTCAGGAATACATTTACTGCTCAAAATGTGGTAAGGAAAGTGTGCCAGTAACATTCAGTCATGGCAGGAAAGTGGTTTAAATGATAGTTATTACATCTAACTTGTAGCTTTTCAATACATGTGCTGACTTTGCCATCACTATGGACACTAGCCTTAATACTATAAAATGAACAACCACACAATATAAACTGAACCAGCCCATGCACAAAATTTAATCTTATAAAGTCGTTTATCAATATACCCCTTGATACTCATATGCATTTGTAAACAGATAAGCAGGTATCTGTGTGTGCATGTGTATATATATGAGTTTGTAACCCAGTAAACATAAGGTGGTGCTGTCTTTAAGAGAGGGAGCCTAGGAAGGGGTGATGTAATGTGTTTTCAGACAATGATGTCATCGACTGAGACACCGCAAGGATTTAAAGTGACAAAGGCATTTTCAGCAGCTCCATGTAATTCTGCATCGGTCTTGTTAGAGAGCAGCACCCCAAGGACCCCAGGCACCTTCGCTGAGAGAAAGAAAAATGGTGTATGAAACGAGAGCAAAACCTAAATGTGCTTCTTGCACATATAAAGGCTGGAAACTGCACCTTGATGTGGCATGCAGAATATTTATTAGTCAGGAAGTCTGAGATGCAAAACACATTTTGCTACAGTGACAATAACAGGGTTAAGTTACCAGCAGTCATCAACTATAAATGCTGGTGTTATGCTAGATGCGTATTTGGAGAGGGATGAAAGTGTTAATGTCAAATATTGGGCATATATTTGACTGCAACCATACACAAGATATCTGGCATTTACCAGCTGCAAAAACAACAATATACTTCCATTTTGTTTTGATGACTTGGGTTTTTCTGCTTTATCTGCATCCATCACAAACTACATGTAATGAATAATGGAAATGTTCATGTTTACCAACAATTATGTCTATTTCTGAAATTCTATGTTCCCATTTGACCATTTTCTAATTTAAAGTTAGGTCCAAATTCCCTCTGTCGGTCCTCTTCAGGTATTTCTTTTACAGTACCAAAAATCACATCTCTGTGTTCTTGTTCTTCCCGTATCTGTAGGCTTTACTCTTCCTGCTTCTACAAACTTGTCCTTAATACTGTTACTCGTGCCTTCCCAAAAGAAGAACTCTGAATCACACTTCCACTCTCAAACACAGAGCTGGATGGAGTGATGGAGTTGCCTCGCTCTGGGACAGTCTCTTTGTTCTTCTCACTGAGACCACTAGATTTGTTCAGATCCTCCGATTTGTCTTGGTCCACCGTCCTGTCTTCTGACTCTTTTGTCCCACTGTGTTCTTCTCTGGCGTTTGCACATTCATCCAGGGCCTGATCAGATTCAACATCTTGAGCAGGAGCTTCATAGTTAGTTTCTTTGACTTTCAATTGGCTCGCTTGACTTAAGACAACTTCACTTCTTTTTTGAGGGATCTCTCCATAAACATGTGCCTCTTTTGCAGGACTGGCTGAGGAATTTAACGCTGCTTTGCCCTGGGCTTCCAGTGATGAAAGTTGAAGTTTGTTATAAGTTGGGAGGCTGTTTTTATCAACATCTGATGGCAAGTTTAGGCTGGAACCCTTCCTCTCTTGGTTAGGAGATGTAAGAACACTGGTCACGTTATCTGGCGCAGATTCAATGATTAGCAGTTCTTCCTCTTCTGGCCTAGGTGATGTCTGGGCATTTGTATTTCCATCATTATTTGTTATATCTGTGTCTGAAATACTGATGTCGCATGCTATCTTATAAAAGAGTGAATGATTGTCTTTCATTTTCTCTAAACTTTCACTCACTCTTGAAGACATTTCAGTGGAATCAGTCATGTCATCAGTGCAAGCTGGTTGGTTGTCGGTGTCTGATATCTCCTCATTGCACAGTGAGTCTAGGCCAGGGATCTGTAAAGGTATAAACCCTTGCCACTGGTTGGTGGAGAGAAACCACTTGGCTCTCATATCAGATGATGACAAATTATTTTCATTATCATTAGCAGCACATTCTTCAAGCCCTTTCTCCTCTTTGTCTTGGCATCTTGTGAATCCCTTGCCTCCATCTTTCTGATAAACAGTCATAGAAGAACTATGATATGGCGAAGCTGGACGTTTGATTTTAGTTTTGGTGACCCCTGTTCTTCCACTGTGGTCTTTGTGTTGTATTTTGTTCTCAAACTTGACTTGGCTTTGAGATTTTTTCACATGCCCATTACTTTCATCTTTGTCGTGAGATGTTGCTCTAGACACCTGCAGTTCTGCAGGACTTCTAATGTTATCCTCACAGTTCCCATTGCCATCGTAAGAGTCGTGCTCTAAAAACAGTAATAGAACAGAATTGGCCAGCAACTTCTATTGACATTTTATGGTAATGGCTAATGGCCATTAAAGGCTAGTTTTCATGTACGTAATATTGCTACTGAAACTAACAATGATTACAGAAATTGTAGCCTTAACTTTAATGATTTAGGGAAATACAGTACATACCTGTGTCACGGGGGAGCTGGTGAGCTTCCTGCCTTTCCTCCATGACTGGGAGTTGATTGTGTGTAGTAGCACTCTCTCTGACTGCACTGATAGATGGATAGATAGATAGATAGATAGAAGCCCCTCATCTACATATACAAACATTTAGATTTAAAAATGAAACAAAGAACCTCACCTCCGTATGACTCTCTCCCGTATTCGTTCCACACGGCGGAGTTTGGCCTCTCGCTGCTCAGGGGTCAGACAGAGGTCAGGGTCCATGCCAGGGGTCAAGGGGACAGAGGTTTGTTCCCCTGTCTGTTCAGGCAGCTTCACATTAGAACGCACACAATATCATGATGAACCTACTGTACCTTATTAGAGAACTATATCAATATGGTTTTTAAATATAGTAAATAATTTGAAGGAATTAACATTATTACTGATGCAATAACAGTTAACCCTAACGTTCTGTTAAGAGATAGATAACGCAGGTGATTTTCTATACTTTTATTGTTATTAACAAATACTATAAAGAGACTAAAACCAACAGTGAACCGTCTGTGATTCCAGAAACTGATTTTACTGATTTGTCTGTGCCATAAGCCTGCATGGTTGTTCAATAACTATTAAAAACACATTAGTGAACCACTGTTACATTTTTACACTGAGTGACTTGTTTATTCATTATTTAAAATATGGTAGTTTATCTATAAACAAAAGCTTCAAAGGCCGATATTGGCCATAACTGTTGTAAGGCAGAGGCCACTGCATGTGCTTGGACACCTTTCTGTTTACATTTACTAGCTTTCTGTGTTACTACAAGCTCCAGACTTTGGACTGAAGTTAGTTGACATATTCACAATGTCTGGAACAGAGTCTGGTGCACAAGAAGAGATTGAAACGTGATGGATTCATAGAAGTGTGCTTCTATGAGCCAGAGTACTCACAAAAGAAAATACAACAGAGACGTGCTGAAAGGGAAACTGAAGGCGACAGCTGATTAACGTTTCCCCCGACTGACAGGCGCGAAGCACCTCAAACAGAGCTACAAGTGGGCGGTGGTGCAGAGCTCAGATACACAAATTAGATGCTAAGTTACAACAAATGGGACAGCTTGATGCAGATACTGCAGGAGCTGCAAGATGGGAGTGACCAGGATCTGACATTTCCAGAACCAGGTCATTATCTAATGTTAACTTTGTACAGGCTGGAAAGGTAAAGAAAAATACCTGTGACTGTTTACAATATGAACAACATTCACAAAAATGCACACTGACCTCTAGAGGCTTTGGAAGTGATGACTGTAATTAGTCTGTGGAGCTGTTTATAGACAAATTGCCATGCCCATATTTTTTTGTAATGAAGAACAAGGTCACCCAGTGTAACAGCGTGGCTCACTGATGTGTTTTTAATAGTTTTCAGACAACAAGAGAGGTCTATGGCACAGACTAAGAATAAGCTAAATGAGGTTCTGGATTCATAGGCCTTATGGTTAGTACATGGAATTCATTGTTGTTTTCAGACTCTTTATGGGATTTGTTAACAATAACTAAAATATAAAAAATCACCGGCCTTACCCTCTAAGACCTGTGGACAGACAGACTTAAAGTTTTCAGAAGTCTGGGGCAGAAGAAGTTCCCATTACTTCTGTTTGGGGTCTCAGATACCCCAGCTGTAAATCATGGTTAAATACAATGGATTTACATTTGCATTTTGAATTACTAGTGTTATTTTACATATGCACCGGTTGTTGCATCTGTGGTACCTCCAACAATAAGAAACATTTTATATATTTGTCACTGGGCAGTCAGAATAAGATGAGTTAATATCAGCCATACCGGACAAGAACAACTCTCCTATGCTGTGATACAGTCAAGTGAGCCTTTTATTCTTTTTCATTTCATTTCATTCTTTCTTACCCTGATGTTGAAGCTTGCACTTCCATCTCCTAAACCCGTTTGGTCTCGAACTTGGTTCCTGGAGGTTTCAGTTGGCTCAGCTCTGCTCACTTCTGGTCGTGACATCATGGAGGGCCTCAGTACCCCCTGATGCAGCTGTCTGCTTGTCTTTTTAATGAGTTGATCCTGGCGCCTTTCTGCCGAGGACCGGTTTTGATCTGGGCTTTCCAGCACCAGCCGTCTAGTTGGCTTGTTCATCACTTTACTTTGTTCAGCAAATCTTTGCTGCACCTCAGGTGGGATCTGCTCGGGCAGAGGAGTATCAAGCTCATCTGGGGGATCCTCAACAGAAACCCGTCTTGCCACAAGAGAGGATGGCAGTACAGCTGTAACAACTCGTGTCACCCTTAAAGGAAAGGGGGGCTGAGGAAGTATCAAGAGAGGTCAGTAATTAGGGTTAGCACAGTAAGTATATAATGTAGTGATTCAGTCACTTATACTGATCAATGATTTGGCAAACCTCCTCTTGGGTGTCTGAACTTTGAGTGTGGGTTTGGGCACTTGGAGTGGGTAAACAAGGTTTGTTCTTATTAGTCAACCTCTCCTGGTTCTTTTTCATCCTCTCAATCTGCTCTTCTTCACTCATCTTCATCTTCTAGAAAAGACAGGTTGTTGCACCTCAGCAATATGCATATAGAAAAGGTCAAGCATGAAACGGAATCCAAGATTTGCTGATCAAAAAGCGTCTAAGCAAGCAAATATATGATTATTATGACTGTGTTTACATCCGTCTGTGCAGAGCTGCATCTGAATGTCTGTGTGTGAGCATGTGAGAAAGCAGGGCTGGGTGGCAGAAGTGAGAAGAGTGAGCTGCTGTACCGAGACATGAGCCTCTGCTTCCCCCTTTCACCTACAAAAGGACATTACAACATGCCCTATTTGGAGGGAAGATGAGAGAATCAAAGAACTGGAATTTGGCTGTGATTGTAATAATCAGCTTGAACTGCTTCTATATTTGGATCACATTTGCACACACTGATGTTTTGTTAACCAGCAAACAGGAAATAATGAAGTTTCAAACCTTGGTTGATTGGTTTATTGTTTCAGGTGGGATCCACTTTGGCTGAGATTCTAAAGATGAAAATGCAGGAAAGAGAAGGAGAGAAGAGAGGAATCGAAGGAGGGAGAAAGGATGGGTAGGAGGAGAGATGGACAACAAGGTGGAGAAATGGTGTTGAAACAGGAAATACGAGGGTGGAGAAGGAAACAGCCACTGGGGACTGAAAACGTAATTTAGCATTTGAATAAAACACATTAAATTTAACACTAGATGTGTTAGAAAACAGGAATCTAGTGATCAATGTATTAATATTGCTCTTTCCTTTTATTCTATCTGTACTGAGTATATCGATGCCAACCAGATGCATCTTTCTGTGCTTTCACATTAAGGAGGTCAGGCTGGCTGCTTCCTCTTCTGTGTGCAGGATGAGTGTGGTTGTAGATTCCCTGAAACATAAACAGAATTTTTTAAAAACATTTCAAACTAGATAATGTTTGCATTGATACTGTTAATATTTCACACCTCATATGACTGTGTGTAGCCACAGCCCTGATCCCTGCTGTGGTGGCTTTCCTGTAGCTCCTGGGGTAATGGTGGGCGGACCGGTGGCTCTTGTTCCACATCCTGCAGGGATCATTGTCACAAAGGTGCACATCTCAACATATTTTAGAGAATCAGAAGCAATCAGTGACATGATATCAACACTATCTGAAGGCAGACAATGTTACTGGATTTCCTAGTCTGTACAGCCTAATACCAGGACATGCTCCAAAGACATATCACAGATGTTAACTTAAAGAAAACACATCACAACAGACAGGACTCAAAGATCTTGTGAGCAGATGCCAGCAGACGGACCCAGCTTCCAGTGGACAACAATTCCATGTTTGTGCATAAGCAGAGAGCAAATGTCAGGGGTAACTGACAAAGGAACAATAGACAGGAGGAGGCATACCATTGGCAGTCCAGCCTGCAGCCTCTCTGTGGGTGAGCCAGGGGATCCAGGGTGCGGGACCGCTGGCTGGAACACTGAGAGAGAGACAGAAAAGGTTACAGTGCTGACACTGTTCCTCTATTGTCAGTCTGCATGTGCATTATCAAGAACCAGAAAACTTTGCCCATTGGCAGCTGTAAATAGAAGCAAGTAGGCTAAGTGTTTGAAATGAATGTAACGTGACATCAACAGACTCTTACTGACTTGTGGAGCAGACAGAAATGTTCAGATGTAGTTCAGTTCTGGTTGATCACCTCCTGTGTGTGGCATGACTTTTTTGCTGAGCTTAACTTAGAGGCTCTTCTGTGTTAAAGCCTTATTATTTAGGCTGATAAGATGACTATATATTCATATAAAGTATTGCTTTGTTGCAGCTTGATTAATGCAACTAAAATGTACAGTAAGGCACATCACTGTATTTTCACTGACCACCACCAATATAAAACAATGAAAAAGTCTGAGTAGCTGAGGCTCACTGTGGTGCGTCTGTAGCCCCAGCAGGAAGTGGAAGTGGTCCCTGTTGACCTTCAGCCCAGCAAGGATGTCCTCCATCATCCACAGCTGTCTCTGAGCCTGAGACTGCTCCTGATGAGGAAACAAACAAACAAATTATACACAGAAAATATCTTCAAGTGTGAGCTTTATGGACACTTTTGACTTCATGCTCAGTGGATAAACATGCGCAGAAATGAACATACCCTTAAATGGACCACATGATTGAACTTTTACATCTCCTTGTAAGCATTTGTGAGCATTCACAAAAGCAGAGAGGCTTTGTGACAGATATAGTCAGATATAAATATAGATAGTCATATGATACTGTACTATAAATTAAAGTTTAAAGTGGGCTTCCTCCCACTGACCAAAGACGTGCAGCTTAGGTTGATTGGTGTCTCTAAAATTGCCCATAGGAGTGCGTGTATGTGTAGTTGTTCGTCTATGTGTTAGCCCTGAGATGGATTGGCGACCTGTCCAGGGTGTACCCCGCCTTCGCCCGATTGCCGGCCGGGATTGGCTCCGGCCCCACCCGTGACCCCGTTCAGGGACTAAGCGGTAGAAAATGAATGAAAATGAATGAATTTATAAAATACCTGTGGCATTCCAAAGTTACAGATGTGCTGAAGGTGTGAGCGGATAACAGACAGTTCACTCTCCATTCTCTCATACTGACTCCACACCCTCTCCATTTCCTAAATAAAAATATAGAAACAGAGTCGTAAGCAACATTTAATATGTTATTGACATAAAACCCGCAAATATCCCTGATTTTATGAAATTATGTATTATTTAAGACTGGCTTGATTTATTTGGGTCCACTGCCAGCTGGGTCATTACATACCAACGATACGTCACACATTCGGGCCCGGATTGTGACCAGTTCTTCCTGGAGCAAAGCCTTCTCCGTCAGTGCTTCTTCCTGGGCCCGGGGTCCCTGGCTCTGCCACTCCTCCAGCTGCAGTCTGGATACTTCTAATGCACACTGAACACCGTCCTGCAATAGGGACAAAAGTCTTTATAATTATATATAATATATAATATGCAGGGGTTTACCTTTATTAAACAGAATGTAGTGCTAGAAAACAGGCTTTTCAGGATACTCATGAACTGTTGGATGGGCCATTATAAGGAGTAATTACAGACCTTATCTATTTGTAGCTGGGCCAGTTCCACAGACAGAGACTGTAGCAGCTTGTCACATCCGCATAACCTTGTCAAGACAGCCTGGAAAAAAAACAACTCTAAATTATGTTTACTCATAAACAACTATTAAGATTATTTTAAAAAATCTGCACTGTTCTCTGATGACTGGTAAAGCATGTGGAAAAGCTGTGAATACTCACATCCGCATCACTTTCTAGGGGTCTGATTGGTGGGACTTCCCTGGGATCAGACTTTGGGGCCTGAAAAGCATCAGAGTCATCATTTTGTTAAACAGTGCTATATTTAAAACAGCTTTTTGCTTCTAGTTCACCAGAGTTGATCAATATGTAACTGTAAATAGAACAGTACATTTATGAGATATTATTTGAACAGTCTTAATGAAATCTATTGCACTCACTAGAGTTGCATATTTAGGGGATTTGGTGTGGGCTGATGCTTGATTGCTTCAGTGTTAATGCTTCTGTTATGACTGAGCTGTTGTGTTTCAGAAGAGTGCGGCACTAGCTTCAGCGGTCAGGGTGAGACAAACACTACAGCCGTAACTTATGAGTTTGGGCGAACGTTATTTTAAATGTACTTACATAAGATGTGTTTGCAAACATCAACTTCATGTAACGCTCATTACATGTAGCACAATCATGACAGCACTATTTATAATCAGACAAGAAATACAGAAACATACTGTATGTAGATTTAATGTCTTAATAGGAGCACAATACATGAATTATTAGTCAAATAAAAATTGACACTGCAAGCATTAGTGACAATACAAAACAGTGACAGGACATATGTAGAACAGTACAAGACAACATTACAAAGTCATAAAAATATTGTTATTGTTAGAGCCTGTTAAAAGTCTACACAGAAAACACCACAACACAATGTTTTTAGAGGACATAACACACACATAAAACATGACAATACCATGGTCAATTTTAAACATGTACCACACAAAACGCATAAGAACAGAGAGCACAGCGGGGTGGCAGTACCATAGCTGGCGGTAGCACACAAACAGATAAATGGTTGCGGTGATGGTGGTGGTGGTGGTGGTGGTGTTGTGGGGGGTGAGGAGGATGTGCAGCTCTCGATGAGGGGGGCAAAGGGGGCAGTAAGTCTGCATGTGCCCCTGTAGAGTAGCTCTAAGGGAAGAGAGCATGTAGATAAGTGAGAAAAGCAGAGAAATCATGGCATTATTTTGTATTACTGTGTGGGCTAAGTAAAGTAAGTGAGAAAAGTCGTGGTGTGCTGCTCACTAGTCTGGATGTTGTGCTGTAAATTGTTCATACTCTAATTACCTTTGACAAAGGTCTTCTTCCACCCGAGATGTGATGGACTGAACCATATGTAGGTGTAGGCTGTAAACAAACCAAAAGATAAGGTCTGAGTGATGAGTTATTTGGTGACAGAATGATGCTAAAGGGCACATTTATAACTTTGGATGACTTACAAGAAACTGGTTTAATAAAAGAGAGGTCAAAGCTGAATCAGTAAGACATTCTGACTTTTACTATATGTTGGATGAAGAGCAACTTTTTTATTAGAGAACACATGGCTCCTAAATGTCTCCTTTTTCCAGTACCACACCTTCAGTTTGTGAGAGGCCATTTGTTAAAACTTTTCTAGGGTCAAGCCCAATTTGACTTTACCCTGAAATCATCATCAAAAACTGCTGCACTAAAAACTACTACCATCTGGGCACAATCCTACACTATCAGACCTGTCACCACTATTTTAAATTTTGGCCTCACAGCAAGGCTGTTTGTTTTTCATTATGCACACACTATTAAGCCACAAATTTCTATTGCACCTTTGTGACCCAGGAAAAGATGGATGCAAACTCTCAGTCCTGCCGCAGCACTGTACAGGCTTTACACATGTGGTTAACAGAAATACAGGTGGCTGCAGTGGAAGCTCAGACTAGACAGCAACTCTGACCCTCTGTCTGGTTCACATCAAGAGCAGGAAAAATACGTTTCTAGGTCCCATGCCATTGTGTCCACCAGTGTTGCCAGATCTTGTCAACTGTGAGGGGGGGGGGAACAAACACAACCATCTGATGGCAGCAACCACAGCCATCACCACCAGATGGAGGATAGAACAGGACGAAAATGCAAGGCAGACCTATGTCACGCTGACAGCATCCCAGCACAGAAAATGAAAGTGGAGTAATGTGGGTTTATAGTAAATCCATTACTTCCAGAAGTTGGGGCATCACCTGGTGGGCTTGTACACTACACATATTGTGGGAAAGGCTGTCTGGAAATCAAATGTACATCTAAGTACCACAGCCACTCCATCCTGCAAACCTGTGCAGATGACAGCAGCATTTGTCTTCAACAACCTGATGGGAAGTTATACTTGCAGTGGACACACAAGTAAGGCAGCAGAGCACAAACACATTTATGCGACTGGGTAAGAGTTTTGTGAATTTGTAGTGTGGTTGCAGAAAGACTATGTTGTGGTTCAAATTTTAACAGAGGTGGACTTCTGAACGACACTTCTAGCAAAGGCACAGGACTCTTTTTCCCTCCAGGTTTGTCTACCCTAGCTTGTTAATATCCCCGAGCAACCTCCTCAACACCACATACTAGGCCTTTGATCAAGTTAGAGCCATCTTGCACAAGAAGGCTGGGACAACAGGCACTAGAGAACATAAAGTGTGGTGCTTTTGCAGAGGGTCTGAGGACCAGGATGACACGTGTGGTGTCACTTAGCAGAGGGTCTGAGGACCAGGATGACACTTTACTTTGACCTGTTTTATTTGCAATACATTGGTACTCTGAATTTTTCAGTGAAATGGGATTTCAGTTAGTCTCTTGATTTTTGAGCAGGTTTGTTTGCCTTTTGTATTTACTGCCATTTTTAATCTCAGTTTTCTGTGCTTGAAGGTTACACTGCAACTTCCTTTACCTGTTGTATTTGGGACTGTGAGGTTTTCACGTATTTGCTTTAGTGGTGCACAGATCAATAATGTAATAATAATAATAATAGAGAGTGAAAGAAGATTCAAAATTGAAGAAGTTTTCCATCATTTATTATGGTAACACTTGGTATGCAAACACGAATAAGGCTATTAATAAAGCACATGCTGTATGCAGATACACATGGTTTCTGTTTTAACACCACTGGAACACATTCATCAATGCACAGCACACAGACACAACCTTGTCGAGGAAAATCATGTCCTTGCCTTCACATAGCAGCACCATGGTCAGTGGTGTGGTGTCACTTAGTATGGTGTACTGGGTGTGTACACATCCAATCACCCGCTCCACATGAACTCTGAGGTGAGCTATCTGTCGTGTCTCCTCCACATCTTTTACATCCAGTTGGTGGCGTCCTCATTAGTCCAGCACCATCCCTGATGTCAAATCCGCCCCACCCTTTAGAAATGAGAGAGTTCCCTCTGGTATATTGCCAGTGAAATACTTTAGGGTGTGCTTGTGTTTGGAGTGGGAAAATGTCTGTGCTCTCTCAATGTTAATTTCAAAGCAATCCACAATAAGTGCAACATGATTGCCAAAAGCTTCCACAAACTGATGTGGCAAAAATGATCTTATTAAAGCTTGGTGAGTGTGGAATAAAGTCTTGATACCAAATCTCAAAGTTGCTGTGCATTTATTCCCTACAGGGAAGGGGCAGTCTCTGTACAGAGTGCTAACAGTAACAGTCTGAAGAGATAGGCTCCTAGTATGGAGGGCTACATCTCTTCTTATACACACATACAAATGGAGGAAACAGATGCTCCAGTAGATACAAAACAAGATACAAGTTATCTGGTTCAGCATTTACACAAAGGCATGTTTATCTCTACATGCTGACACAGTAAACTGTCTAGTGTCATAAGCACACAACTCAGCTCTTCCTTGAGTATCCTGTTCTCTTCAAACATGCGGTTAATTGCAGCATGCCTGCGACTACATGAACTGCATTCCTTCTGCTCTCCATTGCTGTCCACTGATGCAGCTTTATCCACCTCTGACTTCAGTGCACCTTCATCCACCTGTAACCTCTGTGCAGCTATATCTGGTGGTGTAGCTTCATCCATCTTTGATTTCTGAGCAGCTGGATCCGGTGTTGTTGCTGGTGCAGTGTTGCTCTCTGAGAGAGCTGGCAGAGTTTTTGGCCTCTGGTAAGACTGCTTGGTGTGCATTGCTTTGACAACCAAGGTGTAATGTCAGTACCCAGTCCGGATGACTCTGTGCCATTTCATAGGCTGGTTTGCCTGAAAAAAAGACAGTTTCTTTGATTCTTTATGTAGCTATACAGCCAACTAGCTGAGCAAAGTTAGCTGTGCAGCAGGAGTCCTACTGCATGTATGTGAAGTTAGTAGTAGTCTGAACTTGTGCCTGTCATGTAATACTTACACTCAGCTCACAGAGATAACTCTTCAGCTAACATGCAAAGCTGATACATGCCGACTGTTTTAACCCCATACCGTCACTGACGAGATGCACCCCAATTCTGAAGGCATTTTTGGAACCCACAGACTCATCTGCACAGAATTGATACAATGCATCCTGGTTAGTCTTCTGTCAGACTTGATCCCAACTTGTTGTGACATAATGTCTATGTAGGCAATGATATTTTCACAGGATAGAGGTGGCTGCAGTTTTTGGAGTCAGGCGTGGCAATTTCACTCCGCCAACTGCAAAAGCTCAGGGCATGATAGGGAATGCCTGGCTCTTACCTGATCTAAGAACTGATTGGTTCAGATATTGGATCAACAACATAATATTGTATAAAACTGTATCATTTCTTTTAAAATTATAACAGGATAAATGCGTGATTGATGGCAACTTTTAACCAGTCAGAGAAGGTGAATAGTGTCAGGGCAATATTACATATAATTCTCATAGACTGCAGACAGTCTGTGATAGTTCTGCTCCACAATACAAACATTACTGATTTAATTCTTGAAGTATTAAAAGACACAAAAAGCTTTTGGAAGCAGGATGTGAAGATTCTGTCTGTCTAAATATATCAACAATGAAAATATCTACTGATTAATATTCTGAGTTTATTTATGGTATGTAGTTTTATATCAAACCAATGTCATCAACATCAAACTGATATGACTGTTTTACTGCTCAGGAGATGTAGCCCATATACATTTTCATGCAAAATATTTTAGTAGCTCTCCCCCTCCTGTAGAGGATCGTCATTAAAGCAACTATTGGACCCTGGCATTCTATTAAATCAGGACCCGGTCTAACACGATGTGAATGCATCCGTGACTTCCTATACAGGGCGAAAGCTGGTGGAAAGCTCCTAAATAGTCCGTCTTAACCAAGCCTTACCAGGCGAGGCGCAGTGCATCTCAAACAAGCCTTTTTTGTGCATGAAAAGCCGGGGTGACGTCATTTCCCGTCGCCATCTTTATTTACAAGAAGCATCGGCATATCCGAGAAACTGATTAAAATTATATTTTTAGTCAATGGAACTGGATAGGTTTTGATTGCGCATCGTTAGAACAGTCTACGAGGGCTCTGGGAATATCTTCAGAATATGTATGAGTCTTGTCAAACGACAGTACGGGGTTAAGACGTTCTTCATGTATCAATTCTCCAGGTTAGCGGAAGCGTTATCTCTGTGACTTGAGTGTAATACATGACAGTCATCAAATAAGCTAAGCTAAGCTAAGCTAAGCTAGCCTTAAACAGCGGCATAATAATTAAATGCGCTTCAATTATAACTTACCTCTGTGAAAATGCCATGAACACACGACCGTGTGACAGGGAATCTTGCTGAAGGTGATGTTTGGTAGTCCTATAGCCTCTACCCAATGCCACGTCTCATTAGCTCAGCGATATGAGCTCCTTGGTAGTGCTTCCAAGCAGGGAAACTGAAATATCGCACAACATTTGCGAGACGTTTTCCACGCTGGTCGTGCGAACGACTTTGGTAGCTGAACACACAACAAGTATTCACCAGTTCAACGTGTTTTTAAGTCGGGTAATACAAACACCACTGCAACGTCCAACTCAAATGCAACTTGGTCTCTAAAGTAGGACTCAATGTCCCACAATGCCACGCGTTACTTCAGCCGGATCAGGATCAAGTTATCCTGTTAACTCTGTTACTGTAAAGTATAGTTGAGATAATCGTCCTTCTTGTTCTTTGTCACAATACAGATGAAACCTTAATTGATCTTTTTTGATATTGTGCCTATAGTTGAAATCTGTGGAATGACAGTAACCTGGCGAACATAAAGTTACATACACAACTCAGCTTTCAAATTGATTATATTTTATTTGGCTGTTTTAATTAAATGACAGCCAAGAAAATGTGTTATTTAAATTAATTCGATTTTATTGTTAGCAAAATTCCAAGTACACGCTAGCAAGTTTGTCTGCTAGAAACAAAGCTTTAATGTTTTTAGGTCCTACTTAAGGACACACTGAAATAAAACTAAAATAACTACAGTCTTATGTTATGAATTTGATCTGCAATTTATTTTCATATTACTTTTCTTTATTATCATTTGTGTATCACCACAAGCTTACAGTGTAATGTAATCACTGTTGTAATTTTTTGAATAATTAAAATAGAGTAAATATGTTCTCACCTTGTTTAAGTGTTGCCACCTTTCTGTGACTGGGGTAGTTGGCGTGGATTTGAACTCCATCTTAGGTGAGACAGGTGCATAGTACAAGGTCTGTGGCACCATGACAGGGTCGTCGTGAGGTCGAATGTCAACCCTTCCCACTGGAGTATGCGGTCGTGACCCCAGCTGACCTTTGGAAGTCAAAGCAGCTGTTCCCATAATGTCTGATTGTGTGGGTGGTGTGTTTTGCCCAGGAAGTGAATCCTCTTGTTTTGGACCCCAAGCTCTTCTTCTGTTGAATTCAGGAGGGCTAGGTGTTCTGTTTGAAGGGCTGTGAAAACATGAGTGAAAAGAGAACAAAATGCCAAAAACCAGAGCATTTCACAGATGAGCTTTTCTCCTTTAAGTAAACCACTGAGATTTAAATACTGTATGTGCACACAGAGGTGACTTGACAACCTGCTGTTTCTCTGACGCACACTCTGCCTCCCCCTCAGCTCTGAGTACGACGTCCCCATCCTCCCACCAGTGAGCTGACTCTGTTCACTCTGAGTCCTGCTGACATGTCTGCGTTTTTGGGAGGGACCCTCTCCATCAGAGGGGGATTTAGGGGAGTCCACTGATTCACTGCTGCCACCTATCTGTGTGAAATCCTGATAACTTGAGCAACGCCTGAAATAATCAGAAAAAAAGAGCTCATGACAAAATTTGACATTCATTGTATAAAAACCCATGTTCACAGTGAATAGTGTCATACCTGTTCATGGAGTTGTCTGCCTCCATTGCAGCAGACTGGCTGAGGGCTCGCACCCAGCCTAACATATCTTCCTGAGTGTCAGCGCTGAAGAAATAAGAACGCATCCCCTGATGCACCACCTAGATTTACAATGATAACTAACAATGTTACACTGTAATCATTCCCCTCATTGATTGGTCCTTGTTTTCATATGCACAGATGGGTCATGAAAAGAATCATGTTTTAGTGATGTGTAAAGTCTATGTAAGAATAGCTTGAAGTTAATGAACCAAATAAACCAAGTGACTAAATATTCAGCCCTAATTCAGAGAAGTTTAAAGTAAATGAAAGTATTTATCATCTATCCATTACCTATACCTCTTATTCCTGAATAGTGTCACGGGGGGCTGGAGCCAGTCCCAGCTGACATTGGGGGAGAGGCAGTACACACCCTGGATAGGTCACATACTCTTTATCAAATGCTTAAATTTGGCCTGACTGGATGATTTTCATTAATCACACAGTATATAAAAAGAATCCTTTGATGTGTCAGTGACAATAAAATTAGTTCAAGTTTCTCTGTAGAAAAACCCAATTTAATTAATCTATATAGCTTTAAATTTAATACAGATTTTATGTTAATTATGTATAGTGATATAATAATGAGGTAGTACTATAATTTGGCACTCACGCTCAGATATTTTCATGGCCAATTTTAATGAGCTTAGCCTTTTAAATGACAGCTTTTCTGTTAAATTGCCCTCCTGGTTCAGTGTGTGGTTTTATTTTCAAGGTCAAGTTATTATAATTTGTAAAGTCATATAAACAAACTGATCAGAGCAAGCGAGGTTGGGCTGAGCTGACAGAGATCTAGTGCAGGATGCATGTATTTAGTTTGGATACCACACAAAAGCTGGAGCTGGCATCAAAAAGACTTCACCCCTGTGTGGCCAAATTAAAGGATTTTTCAGACTTTCATGAGCAAATCAACACAAATCTAGTAACTGATTGCAGCCTTTTTTTTGTGTGTTTCTTAGCACTCTCCACAGGCACTGAGCACACGCTAATCCATACAATCGCTATTGACGACCTGATTGGCAATGTGGGCCTCATAGTACATGGGCTCCCTGACCATCCCCAGCTGTGCTGAAGCAGTTGTGTGGACAGACTTTCATGAGCAAATCAACACAAATCTAGTAACAACCCATACTTAAAGGACATAACGTGAGAGTGATCTATATTTATATATAGGATACTCTTCTAAATACCTAAACCAAATGAGTAATAAAATGAAGATACCTTAAACGTGAATTTTCTGTTCTTGCATTCTCGTGGTGTGCAGAACAGGATTTTGTAGCTTGGAAGTGGGATGCTGCCAAGCACAGATTCTTCTCTACTGTCTGGTGAAGGTCAGAAAAGAAGTGAACAAAAGGAAAGATTCAGTGTTGTACTTTCAGAGCACAAGAAAGAGTTTTACCCAGTCAAAGTGCTGGCTATGAGCTGTGCTCATTACCTTTATAGTAAAACAGACAGTAGTTAGAGAGGACAAACCATCTTCTCTTCCATAGCTTCAAACCAGAGCTGTCCTGCAGAAGGGAGATTAAATAGAAGCTGCTCTTTGCTTAACTTAGCCACATATGGTTTTTAAAAATTGCAGAGTAGGCCATGAAACAATAACAACAACAACAACAACATGTACAGAACATTACTTTTTTGTTGAGCCATCCTCGAATGACCACAGGACAGTTGGGGTCTCTCTTGGCAGCCTGACATCTTTTCCCAAATGTTTGCACCTTTCCATCACTTTCCTGTTGACATAAAGAAAATAAAACATTAGTTTACACATATTTTGTGTTAATAGTGTCACAATAAGCTGTCCACATGTGCATATAATAACACAGTAGTCATGCAAATTGGAAAACAAACCTTTATGCCAGGAAAGTAAGAAATGGTGGCCACACTGGATGCTTGGCTTACTCTGTCCTGGTCCTCCATTCTGCAGGGAAACAACTGAATTCATATATAGACTACAGCTGAAAAAATTAGGTAAAAACAAAAGATGAGCATAAGAAGATTATACACACTAGCCGGTCACAAACAAATATCAGATGTGTGTGTTATAGCTGGATAAAAACATCACATCAGAAATGACACATCTGGGCCAATGAAAGACATACAGTAGGTCCTGCTACAGGGGCATTTCTCTTTACATTAATCTAAAAGTTTTTATTAATCTGTACAGTGATAATTTACCACCGCCTTAAATTCCATAAAACTCTCAAAACATGAATACACATACATGTGTACACATATTCAAGCAGTACAACCATTTCCTGTGTTGCAGCTCTGCCTACACATTAGAAGGAACTAACTCAAACTGGCTGGTGTGGCAAAAACATACAGGAGGCCTTACCAAAACAGCCTGAGCCAGAGCCTCTCTCTGTAGAAGCAGTCAGTCACTCCCATGAGCAGCACCCTGTAACCTCCAGGCACACATATGCCACATTCCCATATAGTTGAGAGCTTTTCCTAGTCAACTGTTCATTCTCTCAGAGACTCGGTGTCGCGCTCTTCCACTTTCAGTGGAACTCTCCCACTGTTCTATTCTGAGCCATAACAGGCCGGTGTGCATCCCCACTATGAAACTGACAGGTGACAGCTGCGTCGCTGTGGTAACAGGGAGGGGCCCGAGATTGTGTGAAAACCAATCTGGCAGCAGGGACAGGCTGACATGAGAGACAAGATTTGGAATGTGTCCTAAACTGCTGAATGGTTGCGTGGACTGCTGGGGACAGAAAACCAAAAAAAAAAAAAGAAGAAAAAAACAAACAAACAAACAAACAAAAAAAACAACAACAACTGTTTGCTGGGCAAGACAACTTGTATGTTAAGGACAAATGTGTAGGGAGGGTGTGTGTTTATGTAGAGTCATGCTGAACTATCCAGTATACTTTTTTTTAAATAAGCTGTTATTACTGCAAAGAAAATATTTATGGTGAATTGTACTCTGTTATACATAACTCACATTTTTTCATTTAACAGAGTTTAATTCACATGATGCTTGGTCGATATTTGAAGTTGTGCAATATAAATCTATGTATAGTTATATGCACAGTTTGTATACGTGCAGTTTTGGTTTTATGCTAAATACACACCAGTAGTGGAAAGTAACTAAGTACATTTACTCAAGTATTGTAATTAAGTACAATTTTGAGGTATCTTTACTTGACTGTTTTCATTTTCTGCTACTTCATATTTTGACTTCATTACATTTTAGAGGTAAATATTATACTTTTTACTCCACTACATTTATTTTAAAAGTTTAGTTATTGGTCATTTTTCAGAATCACATTAGTAATAAAAAGACAGCATAATCAGTATAATCATTAGACTTTGAGGTCATTCACTGGCTACCTAGCAGTACTTCAAATTATAATCTAAGCCTATGAGGTAAAATAACTAGCGCCACCTTTACCAGTTGAACCTTTAAATGAACACATTAATGCATTAGTAATTTTAATTTAATATGATATACATTATTAAATGTACCATTCTGCATAATGAGTACTTTTACTATTAGTTCTTTAAAGATGTTATGTTAATACTTTTACTTACTGGAACATTTACTTAAGTAGCATTTTGAATGCAGGACTTTTACTTGTAACAGAGTATTTTAAAACAACTTCTTCCACCTCTACCAGTCAAAAGCTCTGCAATCACCCAAAAATGTATGTTGTAACAGTGTCTAAAGGGGTAAAAGGATAATGTAAAGTGAGAATCCACAGTCTGCCACAGCTATACTAGAAGTACATGTCACATTGCATGTTGTTACTTTGTGATGTCATGTAATTATTGCTTTTAATTTGCATTTAATGCTTTAATCTAATTTGCATTCTAATGTTTTATCCATATATGCATTTTAATGTTTTTTTTCTATTTGTCTGCATTGTGTTAAGCACTTTGAATTGCCTTTATGTATGAATATATGCTACAGTATATAAACTTACCTTGTCTATTTCAATTATATAAAACATTCTTACATACTAATAGAACAAGCTATATTCATTAAAAATACTTTTGTTAAATGAATTTATGAAGAGTATATACACACTTTATATATATATATATATATATATCCCATACTATTTGTGTGTGTATTTGCAGTTTACACTTACAGGTATGTGTGCATGTATGTAGATATGTTAACATATTCAGTCCAATTACAAATTCAGCTGACTAGTGAAAACAATTCTAGCTTAAGTTCCACCTGCATTAATAATAAAAAAAATACTGCCTTAGCAAATCTTCATTTTACAGCTTATCTAAACTGTCCAGTTACCGTTGACCTTCATAAAACTGCAATACAGATGAATTTGAAGATAATTCATGAGAACTATTTTTCACTGAGCCTTCACAAGCTCTTGGGGGCGACCCCGAGGTTTGACATGGTTTAGCATTCGCAGTCTATGTCAGTATCAACCACAATCCTTTGCTAGTGAGAAACAAAGTAAATAAGAGGAAACAACGAAGCCTTTGTAAGAGAAAAGAGCAGAGACTAACAACCTCAGAGCTACTGGGGGCTCCGTGGGTGTTGTGAAATATTTAGAAAATCTCCTTAATCAGTGGCCGTCACTTGCTTGGGGAGGAGACAACTTAAAATGCTAAAGCGGGGTGGAGGGGAGGACAAACGGTGGGTTTGTGTAACACACAGAGTACGCATTGTAGAGCCCAGGGTCTCTGAGGCATGATGAGAAACTGGACACTGAACATGCTGAATACATCAGGCTGGAAAATAGCCTCACTGTCAATAAACAAAAACATTTGCGTGTCTCGTACATTTATTAAATGTCAACAAAATCACCACTATATGTTTGACCTTGTTAAGTAAAGCGGTGATGTACTGTAACCATGCGATTGCTCTATGCAGCATATTCTATATTGCTAAAAAGAGTAATGATGGGCTTCAGAGGGCATCAAAGTTGGCAAATACAGGTGGGACATCACAATCACAGCTTGGCCACAGATAACACATCACAGCCAAGCTACTTCATAACTACAATCAATAGTATTTTTGCTGCTAAATGTCAGGAAAATGAATTTAGCTTCAGTTAATAAATGAAACTAAAAGATTAATACAAAAGTACAAAAATCCACAAAACATCTTTATGCCACAGTTGTTTCTACATGTTCAACTAAGAATTACATAAGACATGAAGCATAATAAAGATGCCATATTGCTGTACCTGACTAATTGTGTTTGCCTGCTGGCAGTTTCAAGCTCCATCACTTGGCATGCTCTCTCACAGCATCTCCGCCAACTTGGCTGCCCTCCTTTTGGTTATCACAAGCTCCTGTTGCCCGAACTGTCACCACACTCTTCTGCTTTCCGCTTCTCTCCTCATACCTGTGAATCTCCCTCTTTGTCCCTCACTCGTTCACTCTGTTCTGACTTGTAGCAGCGGTGTTTATCTGGTGATCTACCTACGCTGGCTGTTAAACAGTCAGTCTGCTTCTCTGTCCTCCAACAGTGCTGTCTCTGTAAGCCCCTTCTTCCTCCCCCCCCACTTCTTCTACACTGTCCCTCCCTCTCACCCTGCCCTGGACAGCCTCTCTGTCTTTTACTGAGTGTGGGTTTGTGACTTAGGAATTTCCAAAAAGCAGCTGCTCTCTCATTCCCATGCTCTGCCCTTTCCATTATTTGAATTTCATTTCTCAACTATCTGGATCTAGCTTTATGAAAATCAAAGATTTAGATGCCAGTCCTAAATTATCACCCTTGGTAAAGGCCCAGCCATTCAGAATATGACCAACTGAGTGCAAAGGGCTGGAGCTTGCTTCACTTGAAAACTGATAAACAGAACTTGAGGAATGCAAGAAATAATTAAACCTAGGTGCTCAAAATATATAATAAATTGAAGCTATAATAGACCAGTTTAATTGAGCATATTCACTGAACTTAGAACATGTGAATACTGACGCAAAAGAAGAGTTATATGTGGCATAAATCTATTACGAGTGCAAGAACAAAAAACTAAAAAGATCCTTGACAAACTTTATTGCAAAGTGCACAAAAAATATATAGTCAAGATATCTAATGTAGCATTTAAATACCAGACAATTTCATCGCATTATAATTAGTCAGTCTAGACTTTAAAGGTTTCCACAGATTCCAGGGTTTTACTTAGGTTTTCTGCTGCACTGAGTCAGTGTCTTGTGGAGCTCTTCTTCAAATATTCTCAGGCTAGAAACTGAAGCACCCCATAATACACTCAACTCTCATGCAGTACAAGAGAACTGTGGTACTCAGCTAACCTGGCTGTAAGAAAACAGGTGTTCAGTGCTTTAAGATATTGATCTTGAAATATTGTGAAATTGTCAAGTGTAGTTTTGGGATAATTTCCTTTGTACACAAATAAAACACACCCGGTCACTTTTGACCAGGAACACAACAGGTGTTACTTTATGTGACGGCATAAAAATTTTAAATGGTTTCAAAACATATGTCCTTGGTAACTTTGACCCAAAGTAGTCTGTGCTAAACAGTACATTATGTTTCACCTGATTATTTTTTATAGTCAAAATAATCCAGAAATTATAGTTTGGAACTTGTATTCAGTATGCAAAAGCTCAGATCAATGAGGCATAAAGCCCATAAATAACAAATAGAAGTTCAAAACTTGTAATGTTCACAAGAACTTAAGTTGATAAAAAAATTCTAACATAATAAATAGTGATAATATATGTATTATTATACTTTCTATAATGAGTCTTAATGTAACGGTCATTTTTGACCGGGAACACAAAGTTATTTAACATGAAATGAACACAACACAAAGGTTAAGGTGAGGTGAGTAAGAAGATTTCTAGTCATGAATAATATCAAAACCGAGACAGAGAAAAGCACTCAAAGGAAACATGAGTCTGGTACCGAGCTCTGGGCCAGTACACATGCCTCAGGAGGGCTGCCATTATTTCTGTACAAGAAGAAGATATCAGAGGTGTTTTAAGTGCTGTGATAAGAGCTGGAAAGATAGGAAAAAAGTCAAGTCTAAAATTATACTCGCAGGACAGCAGTGTACAGGCCTGATTAGTTGCTGGCATTATTTAAAGGTACATGGTTAATTCTGCTGTTCAAAATCCTGCATCCTTGAAACAGTGGACTGCAAACATGGCACAAAACACTCAAGCCATAGCTCAGGACTTGGCTTGTAATCACATCATGCACTGCAGACCCCTCACAACCTGAACAATTTGTTTGAGCTCCTCTGCTCTGGACGGCGTTACAGGTCACTGTATGCCAAGACAACCAGGCACAAGGACAGTTTCTTCCCCCAGGCCATCACTCTGATGAACACTTGACCCATGACAGTATGACTGGACAATAACCCTCAGTGCAATACCTGCAAATATACATTGTACAGATTATACAGACTCGTACAGGTCTCTATTTTTAAGTACTCTGTTTTTATTCCTATTTATCTCATTCACAATGAGCATTCCTTTGTCTGTCTGCATTGTTTACTGCCTGTTTATACTGCTTATTTTGCATTGTTTGCCCTGGTTATTGCTTGTTAATACTGTTTATTTTGTTATATTACACAACCTTATGCTGGTTTACTGTTTACTTGCCCCTTGCATGGGGATATGTACATATACATTGAGAGCCGATGTACCAGAGTCAAATTCCTCGTGTGTCTGACACACCTGGCCAATAAAGCAGATTCCAATTCTGATCATCTTAAAATGACTGTCTCACATGTCTAGGCCACTTGGTTTAGTCCAGGAAGGTCATGACCTCACATGCCCAGGATGTCCAGTTCTCACAGAGGGACAAGTCAGTCTGCCTGCAGATATTTACAGCTCCTCCCATTTAGCATACTACATGATCATCTGTGTTGACCGACAGCTGCGTGGCTGCTAACCACAGTAGCAGAGAGAGTCCAGCAATCCAGAGAGGCTGATAATATAACTCATAATATTACAGGGGCAAGGCAACAGTGTAATTAAGATTCAAACCCAGAGGTCTGGTCCAGTTTCACATGGGCACAACAGATACATGGGCACAACAGCTGGCAAGCCAAACACTGACTGTACTGACTGTGCATCAGTACAATCTGGCAGCTTTTCTGACAAATGAAGCTGCTTATAAGAGGGTATGCACAGGTGTAGTCAATCGGCGAAGGTGAGGATGATTGGTGTAATGCTGGTAAAGTGACCGAGAGTGAGAGTAGGGAACAGGAAGTGTCAAGTAAAAATAAGAGCCAGTTACCGGAAGTGGAGCTGGAGTTCATGACAATGTGAAAATCATTGTGATTTGTCAATTTTATTTATTGTTTTTTTTTTCTATTTTTTATTTATTTATTTATTTATTTGCCTTTTGTGGTGTACAGACAATAGAAATCCACCAGGTGGCGGTATTTAACAATTTTCTACATCTTATCTTTTGGCAGCGCTACGAAACTGCTTCACATAAACAAATTTTATATATTGTGGCTGAAAGTCATAAAAGCTCTGTATTTGTACATGATCATTAGATGTTATTGTAGAGTGTACAGCAGAAGTCAGTGGCAACACATCTGGACTGTAATGCTTCATCTTGACAAAGACTCATGCTGTTGTCTTTAGCAGTTAAAAATGCATAGGTTTGAGGCTTTGTTGTGTAACAGTTTTTGTTTAACAGTGAAAGATGACATATTTGACTCTGCTTTTTAGTCTACTGCTCTTTAGAAAAAGCTGTAAACAGCAGGTAACTAATGCTCTCACCAGGCCATGATATACTGGGGGCAGATTGAACGTGGGCCAGTAGCTACGTGACTCTAAATTTGCTGGGACCAGTAGTGTCAGAATAAATGTGTGCTGCATGTCATCAGTAGAGTGGTGACAGACCTGGGCAACAGAGGATGACTACCTTTTACCATATTAGGCTGTTAATAAAGTATTCATCATTTATTTAATTTAGGGTCAAAACTGGGTTAATCAGAAGCCCAGAAATGGATTTGTTTGGCTGGAAAATAATTAGACTTCTATTTAAGGTTTTTATTCATGTGTTTTCAGAAGGTACATTGAGTACAAAACAGTGCTCACAACATAACTATCCTCTGTCCTCTTTGTCATGCATGCAATGTGTCACTTAAGGTGCTTATGCCTCTTTAGTGATGACACGAGCATAGAGTTACCATTCATTCACACACCTGACGTGAGCTCACACGTCCAGAGCCAGATATGTGGGTGCTGGCACTCGGGTGTAATTATTCTTGGACGAGGGCCTCCGGTTTTGTTTGCTTTGTTCTATGATGAACGTTTGTCATATACTGTAGGTTTAGTTGTCAATCTTAGTGATAATAAATTATCACTTCCAGTCACTGTAGGAACCACAGCATAAATCATGCTTAGATGTCTAAAAATGCATACAGTTATGCAACTTGTTTTTGATTGTGAAACAAATAGATGTTCCTATATTATTTTTAAATTTTATGGGATGAGCTGTAGTAGCCTCCCACTTCTCTGTGAAGAAGTCATCAGCTGTCCCACCGGGAATTTGCAGTCATATGTATTATGAGACTGGGCCTCAGATACCTATAATGCATGACTTAGATTAACTTTCAAATATGTCTTACTGCAAGTAAAACAGCAGAACATAAAAATGCATTAAAAATTAACGTTCTGATTCTTCTTGATCGTTCAGCAACAAACCAAACAGAACTGTAAGTAGCATAACCTACAGTCTAGAGGCATAATACAAAAAAAAGTTGAATCATGACAAATGAACATTATAAACTTTAAATAAAGCTGGTATTGAATTCAATCAATAGTTATTTTGTGTAAAATTAGAGCTATTGCCTTTATGATTAACAAAAACATCAATTCTTCTGAAAGTGTACAGATATGAATTGTTGTTTTTGCCTTAGCCAGACATGACCTTCACTGTACAGCGTAAGACAAATGGCTGCGGCTAAAATGGATGAAATACTGGCCCATCTTTTATGTATAGTTGATCATCAGGGCTCCTCTTGATGCCTGATAAATGAGGTTGCGTGATACACTGGAGCTCCAGGAGTGGGAATGTTTTGTGTTTGTTGGTGTGCCCCATTTTTAGTTCGTGTAAAGCCCAAGTACTTCGGGTGTGAAGACAGCAGAGACTGAGGCCCACCTGTCAGAGCAGGAAAGTGATCTTCATGCTGGAACCACTCACATGTAAAAAAAAAAAAAAAAAAACACCCTCTAACCCCGAGGGAAGATATTCACTCCTTCTTTGCACTGCTAAATCCAGCGAGGAGCCATGCTGTGAACACTTTACAGTATGTGCAACCGTATCATAGTGACACACAAAGACGTTCACCCACCAGGGAAAGATCACAGACTGAAAAACGAGAAGCAGTGCATTGGATTAAGTGATTATTTCATTTTAATTAAATGGCTATCAGCAGAAAACCTATGTGTTGCTTTAATTTATGACAAAGTTAGAATTGTATTGAAACTATGACAAAACTAAATCTGTACAGTCATAAATTGTAAAAACAAAATAAGAGATAATATATTGGCTAAAATACAGACTTTATTTTATAAGGTCACATGACACTCAACATTCATTCAGTAAATATTGCGTTCAGTACATAACTAATCTGATATACAGACCCAGACATACAATAGTATGAAATAAATTGTCAGGTCCGCTCGACGCGACCTGCCTCTCTTTCTTTTTTCCCTCTCCTCTCTCCCTTTTTGCGGGATCAACGCCTCAGCTGTGTCACATCGGGTAATTAGTGACTCGTGGGTCGGTGCGCACACCTGAGGCGTATTCTGGTGATTTGTTGGCTTCCTTATTTATACCTCTGGCAGACGCCCCGTCATGTAATGGACAATACTTACCCTATGTAAGTGACTAATGTTGTTTGACCCGTATATTTTTAGACGTGTGTAAGATATGCTACGCTGACAGTCTCTGTGCGTTTTGGCTTGACCTTATCACGCTAATTATGCAGTTAGCAATACAGAAATACGTGCTTTGTCTTCCACACTGACAGTCTCTGTGCTGTGGATTGCATTGTTTAAAAAAAAAAAAAAGAATAAAACTGTTACATGTTGGATTAACTGTGATTAAAAATTATAGTGGGTATTAAATAGGAATTATAGTGATATGTGAATAAAACATTAGTTGGAGCTTCTATTTTGTTTTCGTCAGTATTGTGCATGAAGACTGAATTCCCTTCCAGAAACCTGGAAGAATCTTCTTCTCAATAGTAGTCTCAAATTTATACAACAATGTCACCCCCTCTCCGCTCCGTCACCAGATACAGCATAAAAATTTATAAACCCTGCAGGTTGGTCAATATAAACTCCAATTGTGGAGCAATATGGGATACCATGTATGTCTTTGCTTAAACCATTAAACCGGATCTGGTAACATGTTCCTGACCAGCACAGACCCCAGGACTCCTCATTTTCTTCGAGACCGCTGGGCCCAGAATTTGCCCTCCTCCCTGCTCCTTCGTAGGTGGCTCCAATCACCACCCACCCTGTGTACTCCACCTCCCAGTAAGCCCGCATGTTCCAAATGCCCTCTTTACACACAACCTTTGAAGAAAATGAATTTATAAAAGAAGGGGAAAAGCATAAAACAATTGCTTCTTTACCATATAAGCCCATGTTGTTGTTTGTAGTTGTATTATTTTCTAACTTACCTGTGGAGAGTACTCATATCTTTCTGGTCTGTCCAGGACAGGACAAACCTCCTTAGTTCTCCGAAACACCTTGGATGCGTTGTCAGAAATCCACAACATCTTATTGGCAGTCTTATCATCCAAAGTTAAATTCATCCAGTCTACAGGGGAAAATCAATGAGTGGTGGTTTTCATTTTGTTGAATGACTCTAAATCTAGAAAAATATAGCTGAACATAAAAGAAACAAACAAAACCTGTTCATACACTTCATGAGCTCAGCTCTGCTTGTTGGCTCTGGAATATCTGACACATGAGTGGAAACATTTTCTGTAAGGAGAGAAAACTGGCTTAAATACAAACTACATCACAATTTGTAAAGAGTATAAATATGCTAAAACATGCATCAAATCCATTACCTGCAATTGTTGTCTCATTCTTGGTGGGTTTAGTATTCTTTGCTAAAAATGTAAAGCTCAAAGTTAAGCTGCAGTGACGCAAAGTGTTTCTTGTTCCTCACTAACATATGACACAGTCCTCTAACAATCCTGTTAGGAAATTATATACTGAATGAGTAATTTAGCACTGAGATGGTGTTTTTATATAAAAATTGTACCTAAAACATGTAAGAAACAAGATTTTTTTTTAGATTAATTATGCATGAAACCATTATTGTATCATTGATGTCATAAGTTATATAACAATAAAATGTCTAACAGCAGCAAAATCACAACAGCTTGGTCTCTGTCATGCATTTTCACTGTTGTAAAATATACAACACATAATGAAGTAGAAATGTGTAAGATTCATTGATTCAATCCATGATATGACATTTTAAAAGAGATTCAATAAATACATAAAGGTTTAAAAATGCTTCTCATAATATGTTTGGTATTTTGCATGGATGCCACCACTTACAATTATACCTTTCATTGTCTTATTATATATGACAAAAGATTGCTAGTCCTCATGAAAACACAAGTTGGCAGAATCTGAAATACAGTATTATACAATGCAATGCAATTAAATGAGAGAGAAATACATTTAAAGTCATGTTTCTAAAAGTATAATAAGGCGAACAAACGGAAACATTTGTTGATTCTAAGCACAAATTAATACCTGCCACAGCTGGCAATAACTGTTTTAGGAGAAGAGAATATGCTCCTAAGAAAAGAGGCTTACACTTTGTTACAATGCAAATTCATTAATGTTTTAATGTTTACTGTAATGGCTTACCATTACTTTGTATTCCTAGCATTGTACCTGAGTTGCTGGTCTCTGGGGGGATTATTGTAGAGTTGGGTCTAGTGGACATCTTGAGGTTCTGTGCTAATAATCCAGGCCCAGAAAAAAATCTTTAATGCATCCATGGAAAAGTTACAGTCTTCGTCTTCAACTTGGCTTGTATAGCCTCAGTAAAGATGAGGCAGGGAGTGTCTGGTCTGGAGGAGGTGTTGGGGTAAGGGGAACGGGTTCTCAGTAGGGGCTTATGGCTTTGTATGAACTTGACTTTGACATATGGATTGGAGTGAAGCTAACATAGACATCTGATGCTCATGAAACCTTGGGAATCTGTTCAAAAGAGCAAGAAGATGGTTGGAAACATAGCTGAAAGTAGAATCAGGAATGTGTAATCAGGTGTAATCAGGTGTCTTGCCATTGATGCAGGTCATACCGTATAATCACCTTGATCAAGCTGAACAAAGAAGGTGGTAAACTATGTGGTATCTATGGTCCACAATGTCCATCCATTGTTTAGTTCCAACACCAGGTTACCAAGCCTTTGTTCAAGGACAAAATCATATTAGAATAGATAAGATTGTTTATTGTAACATCTTCCACATTTGTCCTCAAGTTAAACATAAAAATCACCAAAATCACACTGTAAAAATTTCATCATTTTACAGAATTTTCCTGTTTATTTTACAGACTTCCTGTTTATTTGGCAAATGTTCCTGTATTTCCAACATACAAGGAAGTGGTAATAAAATTACAAAAATACACTGTGAAATTATTTTACAGTGCATTTGGAGCCCTTTAGCTCGTACTAGTAGGGAGATCCAAAAGGGTAAACAGGTGCTTGGCTAGAAAATTGACTCCAAGTCTGTAGCAGGAAGGAAGAACATGTGAGCAATAGTATGACTTAGTGTAGGTTTGATTTGGTCGGTTACAGTATTATATCATCGGTTGCATATTTTTACTGTCACTCTTATGTTACTGTATTATTCAGATAAAAAAAGGACAAAATATATCTTATTCAGTGCTTTATTATTTATTTAAACATTTGTGTACATAACATTCTACATATATTTATACCATACTAGCCAACCATATACATTCTTAGCAAACAATAACAATGGAGGAATAAAAATACATATAAATATATAAAATGTGAAAAACAACTGAAACCCTACTGATTGTACTTTGCTCCCTTTATTGAGATGTACTAAACTATCAACTGTATATCTATCGTAGAGATACTGGATGTAATGAATCTGTGCACCAATGTTATGATTTGTCATGCATTGTCCAAATGATTTAAATATGTTTATGTTATGTGTAAATATTCCTCTGACATCCCTGACAAATGATAACATGCTGGTTTTGTCCAGTTTAATATAATAGGATGAGAGCAATTTTAATCATCCCTCAGCCAGAGTTCAGCTCTTGATCACTGACCTTCATATTTTATAATGTGGATTCCATTGTTTATTCCTCCTTCTTTACAATCACACATTCAGATTGTATCCCCACCCAAAACCCTGGCACCATCTTCTCAGTAAAAGTGCTCTTAAACTGCTTCAAAAGTGTGACCTCCTTTACTCCTGCACCCTCAGTAGCCTCCTCCACAGCATAGTAATTAAGAATACCAGCAGGCTGATCAAGATATACGCCAATTCTAGAGCACTTGGGAATCCCCTTGATCTCCATTACACGGCCTTTGTGCCAGGCATGATAGCTGGAGCCACTCCAGCCAAAACTCCAGGACTCCTCATTCTCTCCCAGGCCGATGGGTCCATCCCTGGTCTTCCTTCCTGACCCTTCGTATGCGACCCCGACCACAACCCATCCAGAAACTTTTACCTCCCAGTAGCCTCGAAAGCCCAGGATGCCTTGTTTGCAAAGAACCTTGGGGAACAAGGATGAGAATAACAGCACGCAATAAGTTAGCAGTAATCTAAGATAAACTTTGATATAATATAGCTGCTACTGAGGAAACATTAGATCAGTCTGTCTTTCCACACTAGTTGGCTCAGCCCTCTGGATCATAACACTATGTTCTGTGTCTTACAGTGACATCAAACTCCACCGGTTATAGCATGGTGATGACAAGCTCATGGCACTCGTATTATTTTACACCATCGATCTTGAAACTGAAATACATTTTAAATACTGTAATTTCAGACCTGTGGCAAATACTCATATCTCTCTGCTCTATCCAGGACAGGACAAGTGATATCATCAGTTTTACGGGCCACTTTATCACCGTCTCTTGACAGCCACAGTGTCCTGTTGGCTGTGTTGTGATCCAAGGAAAGGTTTATCCAGTCTGAAAAAACAAGAAGAAACAATGATTTAATGAAAAGTCATGTTTGAACTGAATTGTTAGAGGATAAAAAAAGAGAAAATGTGTAAAAAAAAAGTTAAGAGCTGTTCTTACATTTGAGGAGATCAGCTCTGAATCTGGGCTCAGGGATATCTGGTTCATAGGCTGGAGTGTTCTCTGAGTAAAGTAACAGTCAAATTTCAGGTCAGGAGAGCCATAGCTGGAGCAGAATCCATAGCACAAAATATATTTAATCCAAATACTGTAATCAAGCTTGTGGTAAAATGACTCTCTTACCTGCGGGTGTGTTTTCCATTTTGACTGTTTTTGCTACAAGAAAAACAAAACTGTGTTTTCATATAGCAAAGTAAAAGGTAAGATAAACATATGTGGCAGTTATACATTTTGTAAGTTACTCTATATAGTACTGTATGTGTTAGGTGTGTCTGAACAGGTGATAAAGTGAGACTCAGTAAAACTATGTATACTTAGAACCATCTGCCTCTGTCAGATCATCACATGCTTTTTGGAGCCAGTGGTTGATTCATGCCTGATGGTTGAAATTACCAAGCCACCTCACATGCTGCAGGCTTGGGTTCAGCCATGCAAGAACACAGCATGAAGCTCAGAGCACTTTAGCGCATAAGAAGAAGGACATGAATTGCTTGCACAAGTTAGAAGATCCAACATTATTTTAGTAATGTAAAATACAACCAGGGGAGTCATCCAAAAAGTAAGATTACAATTTAAAACTGATCTCAAAGCAAATGTAGCTGTGCTACAACAGAACTTATGTGAACATGATGAAATGTAACACATGTGACTCTATTTCAAAAATGAATAGCATAGGCGACGTGTTTTAATAAAAGGTGCTTATAGGAATACAGACTAATTAAAAGTCTACCAGCATTTAGATTCCAACTTGATTTCAGGCAGCAGCATTATGTTATAATTTACCTTGAAGTATTAATTGATAAGTTATGATTACATAAAAGGCTTAAACCTACTGCCCTTTTCATATGGAATGCTTTGGTGTCAAGTGAAAGCATGTCATCTCCAGTTATTTGCTAAGGACAGAGATTAAGAAGAGGAGACACCTAATCCCCACTGCATTAAGATGCCAGTGTGTACTAACATACAGTAAGTAATGTGTTTTATTTATATCGACAGGCAATGTCACCTCTAAAATAAACTAGATATTCCATTCACACCTAGAAAACCAGCTGAGAACAGGAATGAAATTTGACACTGCATGAATCCTAATCAAATCAATTAAAGTTGGTTTTATATGGCATTGTAGGCTCTGAGACAGACATCAAGCTCAGAGCACTTTAAACCCACCAGTCATCATAACCATATTTTTCTTAACTTAAAGGTTCTTTTTATCATGCAAGTCACATCTTAATGAACTGATTTTTGTGTCTCTGCAGACTGGATGCTGAAAAAGTCCGTGCGCGAACATTACACCATCTGTCTGGATATAGTAATCTTCAAGGAAATGAAACTACCTGCTTCCTCTGGCCTCATTACAACCTGGCAACATAACAAAACATTTAAGGCCCTATTTTTGTGCTGCGACCAGTGCAAGCTGCAGTTGGGCAGTATGGTTAATTCCTGATCTTGAAATCCGATTTGCCTGTCTGTATTTTGGTGCCAGGCACGAGCACGCAGTGCATTCGGTTGGAGGAGAGGTGCAAACAGGTTAATAAATTTGTGATAGGGCAGAGGAAGTTGTTGGTATTTTGGTTAAACATATGTCTTCAGAACAGAATTCTAATCTCATAGTAATATATCTGCCTTTGACTGCAGATTTGAGGTGCTGTGTGTCCAGGTCATGCTACTTTGCACCACCCAGTCAACAGTGCAATTTCTAGTAAAGGCAATTTGTTGAGTTCTTATTGTCATGCCTCACAGTAACCAGCAGCATTAGAACCATGGGTCCAGCGACGTGGCTTACTAAGTAGCCTATTAGTTTATTAATAACCACACCCTCAGTTTTATTATTTCACTTCAGCCAGCTTTTTTGCACATTGTGTTCCTACACTTAACTATCACATTCGCTTGGAGCCATCCATATAGTCCATGTGCCAAAATCTACTGCTGTGCACTTGTTGTTAAAAGAGGGCTGTAAAGCTATGAACACAGCCACAGTCCCTCTGTAGCAATCTGCCCCAGGCTAGTAAGTCAAACTCTGACTGGATTTGAGTGTTTTCACTGTGGACGATGAACTCCATACTGCATGTTTCAATAGTAGTAACAAAAAACTTGAAGTGTGTGACACTCAGTCCTTTGTACCACAGTGTGCTGGATAACTATTAAAAAGCAAACAGCTATACTGAAAATCTCTACAGCAGCAATTGCATGGTGGTTGCAAGATTGTAGATGGCAACAGTACAGGTTTTTAACACGCTGACACAGTAGCACACAGCTGCATGCCAAAATCAGCATGATACAGCATGTTAAACACACAGTACAGCGTGTTAAATCGTTTTTCATGCCGACACTTACAGACCCTTGCTCCCAGAAAATAAAACATCTCTCATAAGGACAAGCATGAAATCAGTGGGTTGAATTATAACATTTTTCTTACACACACACACATAAACCCTAGTGACCCATGCACTTAGGATTTACCTCACTATTAAATCAGTAAATTGAAAGCATTGTTGTTATACAATTAGTTGCACCAATTAATATGCTCCAATATTATTTAAAATTTCACACAAGAGCTGGACAATTGTAAAATCTAATTATGTCAGAGTTGTTAAAAAATGTATGAGATTATACAGGACATAACTTAGGTATTACATTTCAGTAATCGGTGATTCTAATTTGTGTGAAATGTAGAAACTAAAGCTCACCTTTATCTGACTTCCAGGTGTCAGAAATACTTCCTGTTGTAGTAGGCATTGCGATACCAGCTTGAGGTCGAAGAGCTGGTATCTGTTCCTGTGGCGACCCCGTCTCCACCTGATGTCACTGATCTCTCTGAGTATGATGAGTGTCCGTTGGCTTCACTGTGTGACAACTTAATGCAGTTCCTATACACCTTTAATGCAGGACTAAGGCAAAGGAGTCAGAGAGTGCGAACATGAAATAAAACCTACTGATAGGACGGGAGGAGTCCGGAGGCTTGTAGATGGAGCTGCGTATCTATGCTTTTCCTTAAAAAGGTTGGCTGGATGCTCAGATGTTTGTTGGACACCTCCTATTACCTATCTTAAACCACCCCCCTCCTTTCTCTACAACCAATCTCGACACATTGCGGTGACAACACTGAGGTATTGGTGGTAGAGGAGATGAATGGTATAAACACACATACACACAGCTGCAAAGCTGTAAATCTTCTCGGGACAGTTCCAGGTTTTAGATGTCAAGCAGTATGAGGTTCAACAGGTGCAATAACATTCTATAATTATGAAACTTCATTCACTCTTTAAAAGTGTAAAATATCTAAATACACTCCCTATTAAAGAAATGATCAAAGTGAAGTATTTCTCTTGCTGAAACATTTACAGTATAAAGCCTATCCTGTTCTTCACTGACACAGCCTTATAAATATTTTAAGCTAAGAACATATGAACACTGAAATACTTAATTATTCCATCAAGAAAAGTGTGTGTCTTACAATAAACAGCATGAAATGAAACATGAAATCATTACCGGTACCTATTATTTAAATGATCACACATGCAGTACAGTAAAATCTGTCTACACATCTACAGTTTAATTTGCTTAATTTTATTAGCTAAATTTGCAGTATTTAAACAAATTGCACAATAAATGAAGAGCATATTTGTGTATATACAAAACACAGTTAACTTGAATCTAGTGATGTAAAACCATTAGAACAAACAGGACATCGATTGTCACTTGAGTACATGATATTCTATAACATCTAATAATCATACACTGAAAAGGAAATTGAGGGTTTCCATATACTGTATATAGACATATATGAAATTCCCTTCTCACCCTTATGGAGTGAGACCTGAGTGCTCATACCACCACTGGGACCATTTTGGTCTCCAGATTCTCATATTCCTTCTTCCTGAGGTTGCTGTGTACAATAAACCCATATAAAGCCCCATGTATAAGTAAGCCTCTTAGATGACAATGAGTCATTTGACCAAAGTTTCCTTGCTTCATCACCAGGTTCAGTTATGCTACTGAGATCACAACAACCGTATACCGTAACAAATGTCTTGTTGCACAAGGCCTGAGTTAAAGAACATCATGTCACTGATACTAAAGCCTTTCTTGTGGTATCTTTTCCACTGCAGGCTGTATGTCTAAGGGGCGTACTGTTTTGGGAAACCTGTCAAATGTCTAGTCAAGGGAGTCCTATCCTTCTTGAGTTTATGACTGTCCAAACAGATGACTGAAACTGACGGCACTGCAACTGACATACTGAACAGTACATACCAGGAGCTATAGTGTTTTACCAGACTGCTCTCAATGGCATTTATTGGAAATAAAAGAGAGGAGTGTGGATAAGGGGTTTGCATGTGGCTGGGATCCAAAAGGTGTCCTCTCATAGGCTGGTCATAAGCCAGCGGCACCAGGCTTTTAAAACACTGTTGACAGACAAGTGATATCTGCCAAAAACCCAGCTGTGGCCACGTTCAGTGGTTGCTCTGGGTGACCAAGGACATTACTTCACTTTTTAACCCTTCAGAGTGTCTATAGAATACTTTACAGTGAGGGGGAAGTTTCTTTTAAGCCACTGTGCAGGCGACAGTCGTGGTCAGCTGAATTATGTTTTTGGGTTGTCCATCTATCCATCCTATTCTTGTTAACACGATATATCCGGAATGCCTTGAGGAGACTCAAGCTTCTTTAAGCTAGACATGTCCACTTGGACTCAAGGATAATATGACAAAGCTTTCTATCAATCCTCTGCACCCCTCTGTAAAAAATAGCCTCTCAGTGAAGACAGCACATTTCTGAGTGAAAATCATTTTCTAGAATCATACATGTCAATATATTGATAACCTCCATTTTGCTTTTATTACAGTATTGTTCAAAATAATAGCAGTACACTGTGACTAACCACAATAATCCAGGTTTTTAGTATATTTTTTATTGCTACATGGCAAACAAGTTACCAGTAGGTGCAGTAGATTCTCAGAAAGCAAACAAGACCCAGCATTCATGATATGCACGCTCTTAAGGCTGTGCAATTGGGCAATTAGTTGAAAGGGGTGTGTTCAAAAAAATAGCAGTGTCTGCCGTTGACTGTACAAACACAAAACTATGTTGTACAAACGTTTTTGTTTCTAGGATTTAGCAATCCTGTGAATCACTAAACTAATATTTAGTTGTATGACCACAGTTTGTTATAACTGCTTCACATCTGTGTGGCATGGAGTCAACCAACTTGTGGCACCTTTCAGCTGTTATTACACTCCATGATTCTTTAACAACATTCCACAATTCATTTACATTTCTTGGTTTTGCTTCAGAAACAGCATTTTTGATATCACCCCACAAGTCCTCGATTGGATTAAGGTCCGGGGATTGGGCAAAAAAAAGGCATGTGCAGAAGAGGTTACAATTTGCCAAAGAACACATCAACTGGCCTAAAGAGAAATGGAGGAACATTTTGTGGACTGATGAGAGTAAAATTGTTCTTTTTGGGTCCAAGGGCCACAGACAGTTTGTGAGATGACCCCCAAACTCTGAATTCAAGCCACAGTACACAGTGAAGACAGTGAAGCATGGTGGTGCAAGCATCATGATATGGGCATGTTTCTCCTACTATGGTGTTGGGCCTATTTATCGCATACCAGGGATCATGGATCAGTTTGCATATGTCAAAATACTTGAAGAGGTCATGTTGCCTTATGCTGAAGAGGACATGCCCTTGAAATGGTTGTTTCAACAAGACAATGACCCCAAACACACTAGTAAACGAGCAAAGTGTTGGTTCCAAACCAACAAAATTAATGTTATGGAGTGGCCAGCCCAATCCCCGGACCTTAATCCAATCGAGAACTTGTGGGGTGATATCAAAAATGCTGTTTCTGAAGCAAAACCAAGAAATGTAAATGAATTGTGGAATGTTGTTAAAGAATCATGGAGTGTAATAACAGCTGAAAGGTGCCACAAGTTGGTTGACTCCATGCCACACAGATGTGAAGCAGTTATAACAAACTGTGGTCATACAACTAAATATTAGTTTAGTGATTCACAGGATTGCTAAATCCTAGAAACAAAAACGTTTGTACAACATAGTTTTGTGTTTGTACAGTCAACGGCAGACACTGCTATTTTTTTGAACACACCCCTTTCAACTAATTGCCCAGTTGCACAGCCTTAAGAGCGTGCATATCATGAATGCTGGGTCTTGTTTGCTTTCTGAGAATCTACTGCACCTACTGGTAACTTGTTTGCCATGTAGCAATAAAAAATATACTAAAAACCTGGATTATTCTGGTTAGTCACAGTGTACTGCTATTATTTTGAACAATATTGTATATTCCTTCAAAATCTTCACTATATATATTATACGAGTCTGGACAGACGTGTATAAACTGCAACTTGACTGGTCACCAAATAATAACCACTGACTGGTTTTTAATAAATCACTGATCAACTGTTATAATCACAGGGAAGGCCTATACTGTACATAAATGCAGTATATTAATATATAAAGAGACTACATGGAATGATAGCAGCACGGGTGCCGTTAGGGGGGGAAGTTAGGATGATTCTAAGGGCCCACAAACTTTGGGGGCCCACAGATGGGTGAGGTAGAGGGCCCAACTTCAAATTTTTTCATAGGGCCCAAAACTGCTAGCGGCGCCCCTGGATAGCAGCATGTCAATCCTGTACTTTAGTGTGTAAACTTAAGTCTACCGTAAGAATAGAAGAGATAAAGGACATGAGAAAATTTGGTATAACCTTAAAATGTTCTATATTTGCCTTCAAGTAATGTTTAAACATGCACGGTTTCACTGAAGTCTGTTCCAAATGAAACCCCACTGAAACTGGTTTCTCTTTTTTTTTTCATTACTATTTCTTAAGGGTTTGAAAGTACAGTTAAGTTCTGTTTTTCCACTTTTATGCAACCCCTCTGTTCTGTGCAGTATGCCCACAGTCCTGAGATGGGATCAGAGATATGACAGGGTAATTGGAAAAACAAATTCATTACTAGAGTACCCAGATCCATACCGGTCAGCAGGTCAGGTGTTGACACTGACATCCATATCTTGGTTTGGCAGGCTCTGTGGCTGACTAGTGAGCCCATAATCTCTGCATACCTTACCAAAAAAATTCTCTTATGGAGCCCCAAGGGCCCTTCCAAAACTTTTAATACCCTCTCTTTCCTGGGGGTATATAAAGAAGTTATTTGCATCATCGCAGCAGTATGCTGCTGATGGGCACCAAAATTCAGGAAACTTCAACAAGGCAAGAAGTGATAAAGATGCCAACCAGTGCTCCCAGTACAAGAATCATACCTGCAACCAGTGGACACGGTGAGAAAATCAAATAACTTGTGCTAATGTGTAATGCTGCAGTTTTGTCAGACCTCTGAGAGTTTACCTTTCTATTTTCAGTGCTGTTGCATGTCATCAGTGTATCACCACCACCGTTCTTTAACAGGACTTTTCTCATCTTTCAGAAAATATCCCGGACTATGAGCCCAACATCCCTGAGCCTACATGCAGAGCTGACCTTCTAAAATGTACAGTAACATCAATCTATATTGCCTTGTATGATGGTGCCTCAAATTTCCTTTCTTGTAACTCTACTCTTTCACTTTCACATGCTGCAGACTGGATTAACCTTTCCCTGGATGAGAAGACAGCCAATAAGATGCTGTGGATCACAGAGGATGAATCCAAGGTATCGCACATGACTGATGATGTCACTTGTCCTGTCCTGGACAGGCCAGAGAGATACGAGTTTTCCCCACAGGTAGGTTTAAAACTTAAATCACAAATCTAGAGGCTGCATTTTAATATTTATGCTTAATTTATAATATTATTTATATTGTATATAATTTCTCTTCTTTTTTGAGGTTCTTTGTAAAGAAGGTATTCTAGGCTTCCGAGCTTACTGGGAAGTGAAATATTCTGGCTGGGTGACTGTCGGAGTCACTGATGAAGAGGCAGGGAGGAAGGGATGTGATGGGCCCTGTGGACTGGGAGAGAACGAGCTGTCCTGGGGTCTTGGGTGGGGTGGATCCTACTACCAGGCGTGGTTCAATGGCATTAACACAAAAATTCGCAATATTCCTCAGTGCACTACTCTAGGTGTGTATCTAGACCATCCTGCTGGTGTCATCAATTTTTATGGAGTTGAAGAAGTGAAGGATGGTGAAGGGAGTGAAAGCAGAAAGGAGGTCACACTGCTGCAGCACAACAAAAGACCTTTAAGGGGGAGAATGTTGCCAGGTTTCTGGGTAGGAGAAAAGTCATCATGCATGTTAGTTAAACAGGAGTAAGGTAAAGAGTGGCCTATGCTTGTTTTTCAGTTCCATTTTCTTACATTTCTATTCTAAAGTCACATCTGAAGAATCCGTGTAGTTTATATAGAAATGTATATCTTTGGAAGCTGCTATTTTTGTATGCATATGTTTATTTTGTCAAAAATGAGGGACCAGATTTACTAAGGCTATATTCTGCCCCAAACACATGAGCTGTACAATATAAAACAGTCGCAGCAAACACAGTTTGCATCTCACTCATCACATAGTGTGTATTGCATTTAAGGAAGGGCCACGCAAATAATAGGATACTAGTTAGTAGATGATTATACATTCCGCTGGAGGTCAATTGTGAAAGGAGGTGTAGGTTAAACACGGCCCAGATGGGACTACAAACCCCTATTATTACAACCACAAATTAAGCCATTAGACTATTAATGAACACTATGTCTAATTATTGGAACACAAAAGGACAGTGGACGGGCATTTGTGGTTTGAGTACATCAAACCTGAATTGGATTTTAACAATCAACATACAATCACTGCACACAGAAATCTCTCCTTGTCCGTCTTGTGATTGTATGATCTTTGTTGTGTATCTTCACGAGTCTTCAATTTGCCATATATCAACTCTTTTTTAACTTTAAAAATATTTACCTCCAAGTGCTTTTCAAATAAATATTATAATGTAATTTTATTAATGGCCTAATATTGAGTAGCAGTTTTTCTCAGGTGGAGTTGAACCGCAGCCAAAGTAAATATGTTCTAATCCAGACAACTATTCTGAGCTTAGTGATCATATTAACATGCCACCTTTTAAGTGTGCAGCTCTCATTCACTTCCAGACGCAGTGCGGGAGCTGACTGCGTAATGAGCTGCTGTCTCAATAAATCAGACACTGAATACATTCAGACTGTGCCACGAAGTCAGTGGAAACCGCAGCGCACAGTTGCGCCAAACCATTTTCTTAGTAAATCAGTCCCTCAGTGCTGAATAGTGATTAGTGGTGACATATATAAAAGCAATAGTAGCATTGTGTGCTGAATATTTTGGCAAAATAAGTGCACATTTTAAATAAATATAATTTTGTGTGACATCCTTTCAATATAATTATATCTTGTTTTAATGCCAGCATGAATAAAAAAAACCTTTAATAGAAGTTAATTAAAATAAAGATGTCAGTGGTCTTGCTTTTGTTTTAATTCATAGTATCACAGAGGAAAGATATGTTAATGTAGTGTTGCTTGCTTATTACAGAAACAATTAAATAATTGATTGATAATTAATTACAGAAACTTTCATCGCAATTAATTATGTTCTGTGTACCCTGCGGAACCTCACTGGAACCAATTTATAAACTTATTTGAATATTTTAAAGATGAAAATACGTTAATTATCTTTGCAATTTATCGCATGCCCCTTAAAATTGAAACTACTTCAACATCTACAAACCCCCTCTGCTTTCCACAGTGCAGAGACACTTGAGAACTAACTGCAATATCCCAAATATATCAAGACCTTTGCGTGCAAAAGAAACAGATCAAGTTTCATCTTGCTAAACAGCCATGCTAGTTTGCATGCTAAATATATTTAAGTGAGAACAAATAAAAAAAAGTTCTGCAGAGCAGCATTGCTTTGTGGCACCATCTGGCGATAAATCATGTTTTATAAATACCAGCTTATAGCATAAAAGATTCATCAATGTCATATAAATCATTCAAACCATACTTCAGCTTGAGCTGCTCTTTCATTCTTCACCTTCCACTGTTAAAGACACTATGAAGCGCGTCAGAGGTTTAGACTGGTGACATGAAAGCTGATCCTAGAAAGCAATAAGCAAAGTCACATGTGAGCACACAAATAGGGACAATGAAGGAGCATGGATGAAGGAGAGGAGTTTATGAAATAAACAGAAGATGCAGGACTGCACTCAAGTTTATTAGTGTGACAAAACTGATTTGTTTATTATGATAGACTGACAGGATCTGTGGGGGGACAACTGAATTGCACAGGGGACAGAGGACGTACTGAAACTTTTTTAGATCTGGAATGCAAACACAATTTACACTCACTGAGCAGGTAACCTGTCTCCAGTCAAAAGCACTTCTTCATTATGCTCCAACGTGTCATGATGGCAGTCTGAAAGTGACTCTAATAATGTGCAATTTATGATTTTTATCACTTTACCAACAGCAAACAAATTGATTTCTTCAACAGGTGAGAGTTTTGCAGAAGATATTAACTACTACCTGCCCACACATATCATTTTGTCAGAACAGTCAGCCATGACTTCTTACTGTGTACATACAACACTTTATCACACTATATACAATGACTTTAACCCTATTAAACACTTCACAACAAAACAGCAAAAACAAAAAAAAAACATGTTAAAATAACTGTATAAAATAGTTTTTCAATCTCATGACTCATTCTACCTTCTGCAAAAATGGCATTTGATTGTTTGCTGCTATGACTATAGCCACAGCAGTCTATCAGCTGGTTGAGATATAAGCCAAACTCACCCTGTGGGTAAAAATACCCGTCTTTGTCTCCCCCCACAGACTCACATCAGTATAACAATGTTTGTAGAGGTCCCCTCTCTAGTTTTATGGCGCTTTCTCTACAGAACAAAGACAAACAAGGATTCCCTCACTCCTCACAACAGCACTCACTGTCATTTTGCACATCTTTCCAAGTGTTCGGTGAGTTTAACCAAATGTATGAAACAGCTGCTGAAGGTCAGTTAGTCTGGTTAAATATGGCACTGCACCTGTAATGAGGTCTAACAAAAATGAAATAGCCTTTAACAGTTTGACTGCACAGCTGTGACACCACTGTGGGGCAGAAACGGACAATTGTGAAGCCTTACAAGCTCTAATTTACCACAGCTGAGACTCCCATATTTTTAGGAGAGTAGTTACCTGCTATGGGACATTATACAGTTTTTCACAATTGCTAAAACAATAAACCCCATTCTCTGAACCAAATTCTCAATAGCCTAAACCAATTTGTTGAATAAATCACTCTTTCTGTAAAACCTTAAACAAGTTCAGGCACTTAGACTCTGTTAGCAAATCTCATGCACTCTTTTTGCTAAACTCTAAACACATTCTCACTCACTAAAACACAATTCACACTGTGATGTCGCAAAACACTAAACAGAGGACAGCAGAACCTAAACACAACTAAAGCACAGTTGTCATCGTTTACACACAACGATTCAAAATTGTTCACACTTGTTTCTAATTATGTGATGAGAAGGTACAAATCATAAGCCAGTTCAAAGTGCACAGATGGCACAGGTACATCCATCAACTATGGATAACAATATGAGAGGTAGAGGAATATGAGGTGTTGGACAAAAAGGA